AAAAAAAAAAAAAAGAAATCTGGGAAGCTCCCTGGTCAGGACAGGGGGTAGAGCACTGGCTGGCTGGTGCTGCTGTCACTCTCGGACTTTACTAACTTGCTGTGTGACCTTGGGTGAGGAGTTCTTGCCTGAGCCCTTCTTAACTAAATCTGTGATTTGAGGAGGCCCAGTGCGGACTCTGGCACACAGTGGGTGCTCCAGTAAATGCATGTGAATTTGGGTACTAGGAAACCCAGGTAGTCTTGGAGCTGGGCAGGTCTTTTTGACCTCCCTGTATCCCCTGCAGCATTATATTCTTAGGGATTGTTTGCTGAGGCTTTTCTGACTGTTTATACTCTGGACTGGATGCTAAGCCTGCCCTGCCACTATCTAGCTTCATATTTTTGGGTAGACTTATGTCCTCCCTCTGGTCATCAGATTGTTAAGGGGCTGGGTGAATATGATAGTCCCTGAAAGAGCTCTTAACTTCCCTTTCATCTTCTCAGTGAAGGAGTAGGTTCTTGGAAGGAGTATGTGCCTCATCAAGGCCTCAAGATTCCCTTCCTTCAGGTTTTTGGGTTTTTGGTAACTGAGTCATGAATGCCCTGTGGCAACAGATAGGTTGGGATATGTAGATTGCGCTGGGTGGACACTAGTTGGAGGCACTAGCTGGGGGTGGGGGGTGGGGGCAAACTTTATAACTCCTGTAGACCTCTCACCCCATCCCTTAGGAATGCTAGCACCAGGGAGCACTTCCTTTTTGAGCCTACTCTGGGTCCGCAAATGTGAAAGTATTCTGAGCATGGAGGTTAGGTGATTCTGCAGCAAATGCGAAAACATTCCCAGGGAAGGGGAGAGGTAGCCACAAGCATGGAAATACCCCCATGTGAGCTAGAAGAAAGAGTAGAAATGTTTCCAGGGAATAGAAGTCTGGATATACCCCCAGGAAGTTCTACTGGAAGTGTAGAAACAATCCTAGAGAATGGTGACAGTGGCTCATCAGCAAAACTACTGACTCTCTTTATAGAACGCATGTGGAACATCAGTCAGGCTTTAGGAACATTCCAAAGGCCTGGCCACCAGCCCCAGCCAAGGTCTCGTCCTAAGGGAGGCTGGGGTGGGAAGAGTGACACATCTATAGCCACCAGCTTAGTGCCTGTGTTCCTGGAGCAGGAAGCCTCCTTCCTCATCTTCACCTGGGGAAGGGCAGGTTGAGGGCTTGCCTGGGTGCTGGTCCAACCCTCAGCTGAGCTCATCCTTGAGGGCTCCTGGGGTGACAGTCTCCTTCCTCCATTGTCACCTCCCACTGACCTGGTCTCTCCCTGGGCCAGGCAACCTGATCCTCTCCCTCCTAGCCCAGGATACTGGCCTTGAGCAGAAGCCAGGGGAAAAGGGGGTCAGAGTGAGGAGGGCCTGCAGCATCGGATCTCACACCTCATCTGACAGACAAGATGAAGCTTGCAGTCACATGGTGACATGGTAGCAGTTCTCTGGGACTTCTGCTAGCCAGTGCTTCTCAAACCACGCAGGCTCCAGAAATGGCTCTTAATCTCTGGGCATAAAGGACTACTATTTAGGAAGTCATGATGAAAACCAAAGTCCTTCTTCCCATTAGGGAAGGCCCTGGCCACCAAGTTAAAAATGCCTATTCAGACAGCTTCCCGAAAAAGGCAATGGAGTGTAGTGGTTCTGGGTACTGCCTCTAGAATCTGAATGCATGGGTTCAAATCTCATCTCTGTCTCTTTCTAGCTGTGAGACGTCGGACAAGTTACCTTATTTCTCTGCAACTTGGTTTCTTCACCTGTAAAAAAGGGATAGTAGTAATATCCACTTCCTCTAGTTGTGAGGATTACATGAGGTAATGTATGTAATGCTGCTTAGAATAGTGCCTGGTACATGATGCTAACTGTATTATTTTCATGAAAATAACTAGTCACAGTATGGGTAATGTGTTTCCTGTCTGGAGAAGTATTTACTCTTCATGGTCCAGCTTGGATGGCCATTTCTCTGGAGACTTTCCCTGGCAGAGCCTTGCCATGTTTCTAAAGCCCCCTGTAATAATAACTAAGTTATTAGTTTATCAAGTGCTTACCATGTGTCCAGGCTCTATTCTAAGCACTTTATAAGTGTTTAGCTCATTTCCTTTTTTTCTTTCATTTCCTTCAATAACTTTGGAATAGCTCATTTAATTCTTATTAGAGCCTGGAGGAAGATACCATTATTAGCTCATTTAATTCTCTTCATGGCCCAGAGGAGGGTCCTATTACCATTGTCTTTTGGCAAGTCAGGCTCTGATAAGTTAAATACTGTCCTGAATTCGTACCGAAGACAGAAGAACCTGGATTTGAACACAGAAAGCACACACTCCAGAAGTTTCCCACACATTCCCGTTGCCCTCTTCCGGCTGCTCTGGTGCTGGGAGTGATACCCGCCGTCCTCTGCCCCAGGCCAAGAGGGAGGTGGACTTGAGCGCAGTGGGGGCTGACCCCATCTCTGATCCCAGGATTTGCGCTGCCATAGGGCGCCCTCGTGAGGCCGCTTCACCCCTCGCCATGTTCCAGCGCCTCGCCAGCCTCCTCTTCAGCACCCCTCCGCCCCCCGAAGACTCCGACGGCCCCGGCGCCTTCGTCTCGGAGGAGGATGAGGTGGACGGCTGGCTCATCATTGACCTGCCGGGTGAGGCCTGAGCCGGGGCCTGGACCCTGACTCCGGGACCTGTGAGGTCACCCTAGGGGCAGGGGTCGAGCCGCGGAGGGGGTTGGGGAGTCCTTCGAGCCTACTGAGGGTGGGGGCGGGGCTCCTTCCCGAGAGAGCCGGCCGTGCCCGCGGCCGGCGCTGGGGGCTGCGCCTGTAGGCCGCATCGGGCGCAGGTCGAGGCCCCGGCCCGCGGGTGCCCAGGGCGGACTAACGATGCCTTCTCTCCCTGCCCCTCGTGTGTGTGTCCCTCCTCGCTGTCCCCCCTCGCTGCTCCTCCCTCCTCGCTGCCCCCCCACGGCCCTCCGCTCCGCCCCGTAGACAGCTACGCGGCTCCATCCAGCCCCGGGGCCGCCTCTGCCCGCGGGGGCCGCCCTCCGCCCGCGCCCTCCCTGCTGGACGAAAGCTGGTTTGTCACCCCTCCCGCCTGTTTCACCGCAGAGGGGCCTGGCCTCGGGCCCGCCCGCCTCCAGAGCAGCCCCCTGGAGGACCTCCTCATCGAGC